TAATGCTCGCAACGGGCACTGATCCTCATTTCCTGCGCTGCTTCAGAGTTAGACTTAACAAACGTTTTAGCCCGTCTATTACTTGAAAACCACCACTGCAACGAATTTATCAAGCCTTCCAGACTTCTCAAGCTGGGCTCAGTACCGCTGTGGGCTGCGTTTGCGTATGTTTCGTAACATTGAGGTGGTGTAACGGTATACTCCAAACCTTACCGAGCCAGTTGGACGGGATGTTGTAGCTGCAGGCGTTGTCGCAACATGCGGAGACGGCAGATCCAGAATCCGTCGTCAGAGCTTTGATGGTCGCGTTCCTTTTAACATTGAAAGCTATTTAGTTTTTCAGTTTTGTCCGTCCACCTGCATTTATTTGAGCACACCAGTCATTGCTGTAGGCATGTGGAAACTGTTGATCTAGAATTCTAGAGCCCTGAACTTCGTCGGATTTTGTTGGACATCCTAGCTCCTGTGTTTAACTGGTGGCATGTAAAATGGTGCGCATTGTCCATTTGTTTGACACACAGGCTACCCTTCAGTGAAACCATCCAATACTGTGTTTTGGAAAATTTGGATGAATCTAAACAATACTGTGTTTGGATGGCGTCCCGGCCGACTTCTGCGGAAACACTTCACCCCAGATGGCCCCCGTCATTCAGGATAAGTTTACACAAATATCTTTGATGATGGCCAGACTTTATTGGCACCAGAATTGCTGAAATAGTTTGTGCAGGTATGTGCTCACGAAAACATGGATTCATATTTTAAACCTTCCGGCCGATGGGGAGGGGGTGGGTACCGCCGCCCCCCCCCCCATTAGGGCTTTCGCGATAGCTCCGAACATGCTGGCGATAGACAGCTGAAACTTGGCATATCTGACCTTTCATTCAAGGCCAATCGTTTGACACCAACCACATTTTCGAGTCAGGTCAGGTCACTGACCTATCATGTCATAAGTAAACCTCTGCACGGTCTTCAGATGTCGCTAATTCGCAACGCCCTCAGTGCCAGAGGAACTTTCACAGGGAAATGAAGCTTACAGGACCTAGTATCCCGTAGAGGTCGCACAAGTTGTATGTCTCGGATTTTTCCTAAAGGTCACATGAGGTCAAGTCGGTCACGTGTTTTCACCAGCATAAGTCAGTGGGGAAAATTAAAAACTGCTATTTCGGCGCCGGAAACGATCTCAAACTATCTCAACCACACGGAATCGTGATATTATGCACACCTTGAAAGTCTGATGCATTGTTTTGCATTGTTGATTTTGTGTGACGTCACTAGGGTCATAAGTGTTTTTCGTCAATAACTCCCGATCAACTTGAGCTAGCGAATCGGAAAAGCCACCAATGGACTCAGGACGACCTGCCGAATCAAATGATATGCGACATGACCTCCTACCACCAAGTTCGTGACCTGAGAGGCTCTGACCTGACCGTGACCCGAGGTCAATGCCTCAAGTTGACCTCCCCCAAACAAAAAGTATACCATTTGACGCGCCTGAGTCAGGCGAACACGATGATGCCAAAATCGCGGCTCTGTGGCCGTTTTTGCGAAGTTATTTGCCAAAAACCGAACCCGTACCCTGGGCCACTTGACCTGACCTCAGAGGTCACCGGTTGACCTGAGACCTTAAATTCGGGTACCAATCGCTGTGTCTTTTAACGGCGCACACGCTCGGTTTTTCCACGACGCTCTAGCTCAATCAGGGGCAAAACGGCGAGGGGGTCGTGCCCTCCCCTCGGCCGGCGCGTATGTATAAAACCAATAGGTCCGGCAAGGGTTTTTAAGTGCATAGGCACAGGCCAGTTTCCGGTACCACATTGATGTTGATTTATCGCAGATTAATCTGACAGACCGAGGGAAATTCTCTGTTACAGCTGTTATCATGCCACTGCCTGTCACTCGACCATTCGCGAGTCGCGATGTGGGCACAGTCCTCTTCTTCTCCATTATAATTCGGCTGATCAACGCCCCAGTCGGTAAAATCCACAGGAGTTCCGTCGGACCACGACCAGCTTCCTCCCGGAGTGAGACGCGCCAGACCAATCCAGAGCGAGGGCTCAGGACTGTCAGATTTGACCAAGTCCTTCACGAAGGCCGCCGAGCTGTGGTGGATGGATGCAAGACGAGCGCGAGGGTCGACGGAAGAGCAGGCGTGATGAGCGGCGATCCATGTGGTATTCTGACGAGTCACGTAGTAGCAGATGTCCTGGTGGCGTTTCCAGTCTGGTGGACACTCCTCAGGAGCTGGCGGCTGGAGGGACGCCATCTGGTCCTGAAGCTGACGCAAGGCTGTGGCGATTTCCTGCTGTCCGTTTCGGATATCTTGACTGACATTTCTAAGCTCTTGCTGTCCGCTCTTGATTTCTTGTTGTCCGCTTCGGATCTCCTGTTGGCCGTTTTTCAGCTCCAGCTGCTCGCTCTTGATCACCTGTTGTCCATTTCTGAGCTCTTGACTGACATTTTTAAGCTCTTGCTGTCCGCTCTTGATTTCTTGTTGTCCGCTTCGGATCTCCTGTTGGCCGTTTTTCAGCTCCAGCTGCTCGCTCTTGATCACCTGTTGTCCATTTCTGAGCTCTTGACTGACATTTTTAAGTTCCCGCTGTCCGCTTTTGAGCTTCTTTTGGTTGTTCTTGAGTTCCTGATGGTCTCTCTCAACGTCCTGTTGCCCACTTTCCACCAGTCCTTTCGCCTCTTGTTGGCCTGTCGTGATATCACGCACGATTTGGTTGTTTGTATCTCTGAACTCTTGTACAAGCTCTTCCACGACAAAAGTGCAGGTGTCATTGATCAGTGACACGACGGAGACTGATCTAGACGAAAGTGTAGCCGTGCAGGTCACCAGCACCAGCACCAGCGACAGAGGCAGCTTCTCCAGTACACGATACGGCTGCATGATGGCCGCACTGCAAGCAGCGCCCTCGGCGCCGGCCGAGACTACTGACTAACTTGGTGATCGGGTAGTCGAGTGTTTATAAGCAGCCGCGCTCGGCTGTTGTATACGGTTGTTAGTGACCCCCGATCCGCTGGAGGGCCTAAAGGGCTCCTCTGTGTTTTTTTTTTTCGGATGCGCAGAAACGGCGCGGCTGCGAATTTCGACTCTCCGTTTTCTGTTATTTTCTGGATATCAATTTCACCCGACTCCTAAAAAATAGGTCCTAGGTCATCTCAGGTCATTAGGTACAGAGGTCAAACTGAGGTCACTGAGAAAAAGAGAAACTGAGGTCTCTCATTCTCTCTCTCTCTCTCTCTCTCTCTCTCTCTCTCTCTCTCTCTCTCTCTCTCTCTCTCTCTCTCTCTCTCTCTCTCTCTCTCTCTCTCTCTCTCTCTCTCTCTCTCTCTCTCTCTCTCTCTCTCTCTCTCTCTCTCTCTCTCTCGTCCCGATACACGTATTGTGTCCGGAGATATAGCGTGTTTAGTCTGGAAACGTTATTTATGAAACACCTTTAAAAGGATATCTTCTGGCGTGAAGAAAGCCTGCGTAGAAGCGTGGATTTCAGTCGTATTCAGAAATCATTTGGGTCCTTATAACCTCAAAGGCCAACATACATACAAAATATAGCCTAAAATATACATACAAAATACAAAATATAGCCTTTTAAACTCTCTTTCTGGAGTATCACCTCAGATTTGACCTCAGGTCAACGGTTTAGCCTCCAGCGGGGAATAACGCGAAAAATAACCGTTTTTACGAAAAATGTCTTTCTCCAATAACTTTTGACTCAAGAAGGTCACGGCATTAGGTACTGTTGGCAGCATTACTAGGGGTGTTCAAACAACCCCCAGCAGGGTGCGAAGTAATGTTAATATGTCGGGATTAAAGCATTTATCGATTTTGCGAATGCCTAAACCGGTAATCGCAAGTCAGAAGGACCCCAATCTGGCTATCTCAGCTTTAAACTAATGCTAATGTGGGAGGGTCCCTTCAAGTGGCTTGCCCTGCCCTACCGACCTACTATGAACGTCAAACCCTTTGAGACCCCACTTTTTGCGATAATTTTTAAATGCGTCAACTTTCGTTTACAATATTCTGGCAATATATGTTTCAGAACGTGCCGAAACTTTTATTACTAAGGTATTTTGACGCCAAACTATTATGGAAGGTACTTCTCATTCACTCGTAATGCTAAGGTCAATTCAGGCCCGGGCAGAGGCTTGCGCTCGGCCACACTCGAGCCCCACCACCAGCGCCATCTGCTCTAAATGCCATCTACCAGCGCCCGCTACCGCTACCAGCTACCGCCCACCATCAAGCCTGAATGGAGCGAGAGACGCGAGTGACCGGTCGCCGAGCAAGGAGCGCCGGAGGGGTAGGGCGGAGCTTAGCGCTGACGTCATTACGTGGCTCCGCCCCATGAGCGCGTAGCCTCTACCCAAACAGCATATTCGTTCCGTGAAATTTAACATTACGAGTGAATGAGAAGTACCTTTCATAATCGTTTGGTGTCAAAATACCTAAGTAATAAAAGTTTCGGCAGGTTCTGAAACACACATTGCCAGAATATTATCAACGAGAGTTGACGCATTTGAAAATTATCGCAAAAAAGTGAGGTCTCAAGGGGTTTGACGTCCATAGTAGTCTGCCGAAACTCCCGCCCAAGATGGCTTCCGTCATTCAGGATATGTTTACACCACAGTGCTCAACGATGGACAGAATTTATTTGCACAAGAATGCCGTAAAATGGATCTGTACCGGTATGTGCTCACGATAACATGGATATCATGGATAACATGTTATCCATGATATCCATGTTATCCAATGTTATAACATGGATACATGGATTCATATTTTGATCATGGTGCACAGGCATTTGTATTTCACCTCCAGACTAGTGTTTATATCAGAGTAATCTGACAGACCGAAGGAAATTCTCGATTACAGCTGTTATCATGCCACTGCCTTTCAAGCGACCAGGTGCGAGGCCCGACGTGGGCACAGTCCTCCACTCCTCCAACATTCTCGGGCTGACCACTGGCCCAGTCGGTAAAGTCCACAGGAGTTCCATCGGACCACGACCAGCTTCCTCCCGGAGTGAGACGCGCCAGACCAATCCAAAGCGAGGGCTCAGGACTGTCAGCTTTGACGAAGTCCTTCACGAAGGCCGCCGAGCTGGCGTGGATTGATGCGAGACGAGCGCGACGGTCGACGGAAGAGCAGGCGTGATGAGCGGCGATCCATGTGGTATTCTGACGAGTCACGTAGTAGCAGATGTCCTGGTGGCGTTTCCAGTCTGGTGGACACTCCTCAGGAGCTGGCGGCTGGAGGGACGCCATCTGGTCCTGAAGCTGACGCAAGGCTGTGGCGATTTCCTGCTGTCCGTTTCGGATCTCCTGACTGACATTTTTAAGCTCTTGCTGTCCGCTCTTGATTTCTTGTTGTCCGCTTCGGATCTCCTGTTGGCCGTTTTTCAGCTCCAGCTGCTCGCTCTTGATCACCTGTTGTCCATTTCTGAGCTCCTGGTTGCCATTTTTAAGCTCCCGCTGTCCGCTTTTGAGCTTCTTTTGGCTGTTCTTGAGTTCCTGATGGTCTCTCTCAACGTCCTGTTGACCACTTTCCACCAGTGCTTTCACCTCTTGTTGGCCTGTCGTGATATCACGCACGATTTGGTTGTTTGTATCTCTGAACTCTTGTACAAGCTCTTCCACGACAGACTTACATGTGTCATTGATCAGTGACACGACGGAGACTGATCTGGACGAAAGTGTAGCCGTGCAGCTCACCAGCACCTGTACCAGCGACAGAGGCAGCTTCTTCAGTACACGAGGCAGCTGCATGATGGCCGCACTGCAAGCAGCTCCCTCGGCGCCGGCCGAGACTACTGACTAACTTGGTGGTCGGGTAGTCTAGTGTTTATAAGCAGCCGCGCTCGGCTGTTGTATACAGTTGTTATAAAGTTCCGATCCGCTGGGGGGCCTAAAGGGCTGCTCTGTGTGTTTTTTTTTTCGGATGCGCAGAAACGGCGCGGCTGCGAATTTCGACTCTCCGTTTTCTGTTATTTTCTGGATATCAATTTCACACGACTCCTAAAAATAGGTCCTAGGTCATCTCAGGTCATTAGGTACAGAGGTCAAACTGAGGTCACTGAGAAAAAGAGAAACTGAGGTCTCTCTCTCTCTCTCTCTCTCTTTCTCTCTTCCTCCCTCCCTCTCCCTCTCCCTCCCTCCCTCCCTCCCTCTCTCTCTCTCTCTCTCTCTCTCTCTCTCTCTCTCTCTCTCTCTCTCTCTCTCTCTCTCTCTCTCTCCTTCTCTCTTATAGCTGATTTGATTTCCTCTGCCCTCAGGCGACCCGCCGCGATGGGGAAACGGGACATTTTCAGCTCCGGAAACCAGCTGAAAATGCAGTCCTAACTATTGAAAACTGACTAGAAGCTCACAGACAGAGGTTACCCAGTTTCAAAAATCGCAGGTCATCATAAAATAAAGACAAAGTATCATTCAAAATTGTTTATAATAGCTTTAACGCTATTTTTGGGAAAATAACACGTAAATCGTTAATGCCGAGGACAAGTGACCCTCCAAAAGTGTCAATTAAAGTAAAGTTTTATCTTACGAAGTTTCAAGAGGCAGATCTGGAGCTAATAGATTTCTTTTACACACAGAATCCGGACAAAACCGCACGATGGACATGTTTTGGCCGTTTACAAAGCAGAATCTCTCCTGAGGAAAACACTCCGGAACCCATCGAAGGTCTTGGCATGGGGAATGACGAGCGTTTGAGATTTGCAAAATTTGCAAAATGTGTCTAAGAAACAGATGGCCGACACATTTTGCTACGATATGCTGCGAAAAATTTGCCACTGGCACTTCCCATTTGTTCAGGAATGGGATTATTTTGAAAAGGAAAATGGTGCTTGGGAGGTCGGTGCCAGTCATTCATGAAGGAGTTGGCGCCAGAGAAGACCTACAAAATACTTACGGATGGTGTCGATGCAAGCTGTTGGCTTTCAGCGAGAAGCGGATGTTGCCAGGGAGCTCGTCAAACTTAAATCCGACGCAGAAACTGCAGGGGATTCCCCTACAAAAGCTTGAAAGCTGGTGACCTTTTATCAGCCTCCGGCAGCTGACGGAGCGACGAAAATCGGTATGGGCAAATAGGGGAAGTTGGGGCAATGCCGGAGTTGGGGCAAAGCCGAAATTCGAGATATTTCGAAAACTGTAAGACATGGATGCCACCTGTCAGTGATGCTCTGAAGCTTAAGTGACTACAATTATCGCATGTTTGTTACGAGTCGTCATTCGGAATACTTCGACTGTGAGGGCGCCAAGAGCGTTTTCAAGGTACGTTTCCCTTGTACTACATGCGCCTTTGAAGCTGCATTTCTTACTCATTATGCTACCGTTTGTCTGGCCAATTCGGTCAAGTAATCTTTAGCATGTCTTTGCATAAGTGTGCTGCCTATTTGAAATTTATACAGCACGTTGAAAAGTTATCGGCCTGCAAATGAAAGTATGGCAGGCTGGGGTAATGCCGAAAACGTGCGATTACGCACGTGTTAAAAGCACGCTACGTGGACTTTACTGCTGTAGAATAGCAACGCGTGTTTTTAGTCACACAAATTACACTTTCAACCGACACAACGGCCTGTTACCTATAAGGAATGATTTACCTGGCATGTTCTTATTATATCACACAATTATAACTTCCAGTGTGCACCGCGTCCTCAAGCTCTTAAAACGCGTGTCAGCTTTGATCAATTCTGGATAAAGTTTGAGATAAAATGGCAAAACATCAATGTCGGCATTCCCCGTAGATAATTTCTCCCATTTTCGGCTTTCCCCGCAGTCCGGGGCAACGCCGAAAAAGCCACTTCTTTGATATTTTTAGTTTGTGCGCTTAACGGTATGCGAATTCATCAAATGCGCCTGGTATGTTTGAAAGGCAAAAGACTGGCCTCTCGAATGACGCCAATAAGAATAGCCTATGCTGTCTACCTTGCGTGCTACGGGCGTAAGAAAAAAGTATTCGGCGTTCCCCCAACTTCCCCTATTTTTTGAGATACAGCAAAGGGTTTGGTTTTCAACCTTCCGAATCAGTTGTCAAAGCATTTGTCTGGTGTATACAAAGACACCAAAACCTTAGATTTTTGGCCGGTTCTTATATGCTTTATTGGAATGGGAAATAAGTCAAGGAACTTTTGAGACACCCTGTAGATGAGTGGCAAAAGATACCCGGTCACAGAGGTGCGTGCCACCATCGCACAGTGTTTTATCTCGGCCTCAAAAGCGGACATAATTAGCATTTTTGACTATTTTATATCTCGATTTTTTAATCACCAAGCACGTCCAAATAGACCAGCAGGCCTAACAAAGCAAAAAAAGAACATCTAGCTACCATAATTTGTGTGCAGTACCTAGCGTCACAAACACGAGTGTTGCGGTGTGATCCTCGTGGTTTGCATACGTCGTTTTACGGTTCACATTCGAAATCACCTGGGGAGCTCATTTTTCGCAACTTAAGGTAAAAATTATACATCATTTGAAAGCTTGCAATGTTGGCAAGGCGCCTATGTTGTTCATTTACCCGTTTCTGATAGAATAAACATTTTAGAAGCTTAAGATGTCGACCATTTTAAATTTATTTTTTACTGTAGGGTTTCAACGTTCAAATAGAGCTACAAAAAATCGCACCTGGTTGCACGTCTCAAGACTTTGTCAGGATAATTCTAGTCATGTTCTCTTCGTGTTCTGAAAATTTCAGCTGCCGAGAGGTGCCGAGAGGCCGGCAGTGTCGTGTTGAAGAGACCTCCACCGCGCGGCGTCGGTGTGGCCGCGCGGTCGTGCCGGGGGAGCAGGAACTTCGAACGATGGAAATATGGCTAGGAGAGCATTCTGTGCAGCCTCAAAACGTTCAGTGAAATTACCGGCGTGGATGAAGCAATCATCACGCGGCTTGCAGTGCTCCTGAACGCCATGCAGTCGCTAGAACGCATAGATGCTGAACGATTCAGCGTACGCCATGAAGACGGCTGAGATCGTGGTTCAGCTCTATCCATGGTTTTATATGCCGTTCAGCGTCCACAAGCTCCTTCTCCATGGTGCTGCCGTCATCGAAACTCTCCTGCTCCCCATTGGTATGTATTCGGAAGAGAATCAGGAAAGCCGAAACAAGCGATATCAGGAATATTTGCAGAAACATGCGCGAAAGACGTCTTCGGTGAACACAATGACGGACCAATATCATCACCTCCTCATCACCAGTGACCCCGTCATAACGAAGAAGTGTCAGGCGATGCTGGAGCCGTTGCGGAAGAGAGAGTCAGCTCGCGTGCACAGGGTTGACATCAGTCACCTGCTCATGCTACCCGACGAGGGAGAGCGAGAAGAGACGTCAGGTGATGAAGAACTCGATGAGTGCACTCAGCCGAGCGATGAGGACTCGAGCGATGACGATCGCGATGAACCTGAACATGTAGAGGTGCAACTGCCTGACTACTGCGCTGCCAATGTCGTGTAGAAAATTGGAAATGCGCCGCGGTCATTGATATCTGCTAGATTGTTTGCTACGCAGTTGATGTGTTTGGCGTATCTGATAGTTGTCGAACGCTTCTGAGGAGATTTCATTGATTTAAGCTAAAGGTTTAGGATCGTGTTGCGCAATTGTGCCTATGTGGAGAGCACGATAATATAACCTGAAACCTGTTAAAGAAAGGAATAAATTGATATGTTCCATTGAGCATTGCATTTATCAGAGCATCCGTTCTTCCCTTGAGTGTCCTATCTGTATGACGCTTTTGTGCATCATGCAACGTCTCTCAATTGTATAAAAACATTTATCAATAAAGCAAAGCATGTTTTCACATTCCAATCTTAAAATGGATGTTCCCGCCTGAAATCAGAACACTCTGCGAACACGAAATAAAGATTTTCATTGGCGATTGTAGAAAAGCCTTGTTTGCGTAAAATAGCGAATTTGGTTTTTCTAGATGATACGATCTTTCCGGCTATATTTGGACATCAGCGACGGTCAGCATGACCGCCAGTGCCTGCGCTTTCATTTGACATCAAAATTATTAGGATCCGATGGAAACTTGCTGAGATATCGTATTATGTCCGCTTCTGAGGCCGAGATAAAACACTGTGCATCGGGGGTTTTGAGAGGAGGTTAGCTGCCAGTGTGCGGGCTGGCGGTGGCCATTTCCAGTATATCTTTGAGGTGTTGTGGTGGATGGTCTTCAAAGTTTTGTGTGTAATTTTCGTCCCAATACACGCGTTGTGTCCGGAAATATAGCGTTTTAAGTGTGCAACGTCATTGATGAAACACCCTGTAAAAGGACATCTTCTGGTGTGAAGAAAGCCTGCGTACAAACGTGGGTTTCAGTCGTATCCAGAAATCATTTGCGTCCTAATAACCCCAAAGGCCAAAATACATTCAAAATATAGCCTAAAATATACATACAAAATACAAAATATAGCCTTTTAAACCCTCTTTCTGGAGTGTTTCCTCAGATTTGACCTCAGGTCAACGGTTTAGCCTCCAGCGGGGAATAACGCGAAAAATGACCGTTTTTACGAAAAATATATTTCTCCAATAGGTAACTCTTGACTCGAGAAGGTCACGGCATTACTTTTGCCAGCATTACGTTTTTGAATATTTGCGAAAAACCGGAGGTAGGGGTGTTCAATCACCCCCAACAGGGTGTGAAGTAATGTTAATATGTCGGGATTACAGCATTTATCTATGTTGCGAATGCCTAAGCCGGTGATTGCAAGTCAGGGACCCCAATCTGGCTATCTCAGCTTTAAACTAATGCTAAGGTGGGAGGGCCGCTTTAAGTGGCTTGTCTTGCCGACCTAGTCTGCCGAAAGTCCCGCCCGAGATGGCTTCCGTCATTCAGGACATGTTTACACCACAGTGTTCAACGATGGACAGAATTTATTGGCACAAGAATGCCGTAAAACTGATCTGTACCGGTATCTGCTCACGATAACATGGATACATGGCTTCATATTTTGACCATGGTGCACAGGCATTTGTATTTCACCTCCAGACTAGTGTTTATTTCAGAGTAATCTGACAGACCGAGCGAAATTCTCGATTACAGCTGTTATCATGCCACTGCCTTTCAAGCGACCAGGCGCGAGGCCCGACGTGGGCACAGTCCTCCACTCCTCCCACATTCTCGGGCTGACCACTGGCCCAGTCGGTAAAGTCCACAGGAGTTCCATCGATCCACGACCAGCTTCCTCCCGGAGTACGAGACGCGCCAGACCAATCCAGAGCGAGGGCTCAGGACTGTCGGATTTGACCAAGTCCTTCACGAAGGCCGCCGAGCTAGGGTGGATGGATGCAAGACGAGCGCGACGGTCGACGGAAGAGCAGGCGTGATGAGCGGCGATCCATGTGGTCTCCTGACGAGTCACGTAGTAGCAGATGTCCTGGTGACGTTTCCAGTCTGGTGGACAATCCTCAGGAGCTGGCGGCTGGAGGGACGCCATCTGGTCCTGAAGCTGACGCAAGGCTGTGGCGATTTCCTGCTGTCCGTTTCGGATCTCTTGACTGACATTTTTAAGCTCTTGCTGTCCGCTCTTGATTTCTTGTTGTCCGCTTCGGATCTCCTGTTGGCCGTTTCTCAGCTCCAGCTGCTCGCCCTGGATCACGCGTTGTCCATTTCTTAGCTCTTGACTGCCATTTTTAAGCTCCTTCTGTGCATTTTTAATCTCTTGTTGTCCACTTTGAAGCACCTGTTGGCTGCTTTTTAGATCCTGATGGTCTTTCTGAAGCTCCTGTTGTCCACTTTTCACCAATCCTTTGACCTCTTGTTGTCCTTTCGTGATACCACTCACACTTTGGTTGTTTGTATCTCTGATCTCGTGTAAAACCAGCTCTTTCACTGCTGAAGTACAACTGTCAGTGATGTAGGACGCAAGGGGTACTGAACTGGACGAAGTTGTAGCCGCACAGATCAGCGTTACCAGCACCAGGAATAGAGGAAGCTTCTTCAGCACACGGAAAGGCTGCATGATGCCGCTGCACTGTAGCCGATGTTACCAGATGAGGCGGCCGTGACTAACTGACTATCTTTGTGTCTGGTAGTCGGACATTTTAGTGTTTACCGTCGCACTCGACTGTTGTATATGGTTGTACAGCACGCTAACGAAGGGGCCGTGTGGTTTATGTCAACTGACGTGCCGAGTTTACGGATGTTTTATTTGTGTTCTAGCTATACGAGATCAAAGCCAGAGGCGAAAAATAGCGTCAGTTTAACTAAAAAAAAAAAAAAAATAGCGTCAGTCCGAGCCCCCTGGTTTTTCGCGAATAACTCGCGTAAAAAGTGGCCGATCGCAACGAAACTTTCAGTACCTTCGCATTGATCAATTTTACACCTACCCTGAAAATCTCATGACCCTGACCCAAGTGACCTTTGACCTGTGACCTTTTTTCCGAGACCATGTTTGGCCGGAATCGCGATTCCGCGTATGTCAGCTCGCATTAGCCGCGCGTTTGCAAGCTTTTCGTGGTTTCAAACGTTCAAACATGTGATTTGATGTTGCCCATTAGGGTGGGTGTCAAGGTCACCTGAAGGTCAGGTCAGGTCATTAACATTTGGTGACCTCGGTTCACTTCTTCGAGTTTTACATGTTTCTAGCCTAGTTTTTGGAGCTGAATTCGAATTTAGCAACCATTTGAACATTAACGAAGTAGTTTTGGTGACTTCGTAACATGTTACGAAGCTGTCAGAGGCGGTTGACACGTACTACGATTACCCGTCACGACGCCTACTGGTTGACCTGACCTGACCTGACCCGACCTGGTCTGAATGCTTAAAGACATCATCTGTGATCAAAACTAACACGATATTCGTGATCAGCACCCCGAAAAACTCCATAGCAGCCACACTTTAGGTACGACTTTCTAACAGCCCCCCCCCCCCTACACGTTAGAAGCTGGCAAACGCCGCATGCGAGGGTTAAGGCGTTGTGTGGTTTTTGTCATGTAGAAGCCACGGGACTAGTGCTGGATGACAGGATAGGTTACGTTGCTTTTTATGTATGTATGTGGTACACTTTGCGCTAATCTAAATAAGTGTTTGAAAGTACCAAAATTATCCGACGGATTTCGGCCATTATGAGGGTGACCTCAATCAATAAACGAGTGAAATATGGGAATGGAGTGCCAACATATCCTCATGTGTCGTTTTAACATCTTTCCGTTCTAAATAACCGTGGATAGGTCGTTATAGATCTATGGCTGTATTTCTCGCCTTTATAACACCATCTCAGCCATCAGAAGATCATTTCCGGTGCCTTGTTAGCTCCTGGAAGTGCCGCGCTTCCGGCCATTTCTCGACCACCGGAAGTGGATGATTTCCGCCGCCAGAAGTAGCAGCGACACGGCCGCGCTGGTTAGCAGTAGCACAAACAGCGGGTAAACTTGGCTCACAGCGATGGCATCCCAGCCTCGGGCTCCTGGGTGGCACCTGTGGGACGAGACAAGAGACGGTCGAAGGGTCGGTGTGACGGGAGTGGTACAGGCAAAGAGCCTTGGTACAGGCCACTGTGACTGATTGTGTGAGGGGGGAGGAACAATGTCAGGTGGGTACGACGAGTCGGAAACAAATAAAAAATATAGGCAAGTTTTACGATGCCTCTGACGAAAAGACTTTTAAATATTATCTTTACCAACATTCATGTCATTCACCTATCAATCAACTGCGTAGTCGAATTCATCTTCTATTCTTTTTCTTTCATTTTGATCTTTCTATGCCACTTCTCGTCCTTAATCTTCTCTCTCTCTCTCTCTCTCTCTCTCTCTCTCTCTCTCTCTCTCTCTCTCTCTCTCTCTCTCTCTCTCTCTCTCTCTCTCTCTCTCTCTCTCTCTCTCTCTCACTCTCACTCTCACCTGTAGCTCTCGCTGAGTGTCTCCGGTAGCCAGTAGGCCCTCTCCCTTGCCAGCACTCCTCCTTCCCACAGCCTCAGCAGCTGTCGGTTCATGATGCCGTGCTCTGCGTCCAGTCCCTTCCTGAAGATGATGGCCCTTTCCTCCGGGGGCACTCCTTTCAGTGGCACGAAGCACGACGGACAACGATCCGCTTGCCACGGAGGAACGCGGACAGCAAGTTTGAAAGCCGTGGAGGTCATCAAGAACGCGAATTGAGGCTTAGCGATCAGGCGCTCGATTTCGCGATCGTGTATGCCGAGATGGTTCTCTAGTCGGCGATCAACTTCAGTGACGGAAAATCCAGTGAGTCGTGAAAGTGCAGTGGAGAAGTAGAAGCTTACTTGAGCTCCGATAGTAAACGAACTGTCACGAAAGAGTTCGGTCACGGAGGAGAAGGGCATTGCGGCACGGGTGGCAGTGAGATGCGAATACAAGCCGCTGTTGTAGAAGTTGCAGACGAGGATGCCGGTAGCGAAGCCGGTGAGCAGGATGACTCTAGAGACGGGACGTTGCAGGGTAAGCGCGCTTCCCTGGAGCGAGAAGGTCCCGAAGAGGGTCAGAAGCCAAACTAACATCGGGATTTTCTCGGAGTTGTCCTCCTCGTGACAGTTGTGTTGTTTCTGAGAAAGAGCAGCTGAACTGTTTCGAATGTTCTTTCGAGGGATGGTTTCTTTCAGAATCTGTTGACGGGTGTCAATGTCAGAAATCCAGGCATTTAGACGTGTGGAGTCCCGTCGTATGGATCTTTTGAGGATTGTCGACTTGGCTTTCGCTGAAGTCATTCCATGTCGAGTTTTAGACTTACTTTCAACTGATTTGATGTCTGGGTGAAGTCTTACTCTAGGAGATGTTTGTAGCAATTGCTGCTTTGTCTTATTTATACGTCTCCTAGATCTTAGATCTCCTCTTAGAAAGACCCGTCGTAGCTTATTAGATAGCCAAATCTTTCTAGCCACTTGCCACTTAGATCCGTTCTTTTCCATCTGTTCGCTTTCGCCCAGAGACGCTGACTGGTCTTGCACACTCCTGCTTTCCTCACCCAGGAGCCGACTGCGGTTATCCAGCAGCCACGCGGCTGTGGCCAGCAGCACAAGCAGCAGCACCACTCCGGCGTACGCAGACTCGTCAAACGGCCGCAGGAACGCCGTAGTATCCGTCTCGGCGTCGGGTGTTCTGATGCCGAATCCTACTGTCACGGTTACCGTTGGGAACGTGAAGTCAACCAGCGCGTGTCGAGCGTGACTCACGGTCCAGGATGATGGCGAGAGGTCGAATAGGCCGTCGCGGATGACGGAGAAGGTGCGCCCCCAGTGGGAGGAGCCGTTGACGCCTGGTATCGGGGTGAAGGACATGGAGAAGCCCAGGTGGTTCTGTATGTGGGAAAGAAGCATGCCTTGTAGACCTCCGGAGATTGTCCCGTTGGTTACCTGTGGGGAGGGAGGGAGGGAGGGAGGGAGAGAGAGAGAGAGAGAGAGAGAGAGAGAGAGAGAGAGAGAGAGAGAGAGAGAGAGAGAGAGAGAGAGAGAGAGAGAGAGAGGAGACTCAATAGTTATACACTATGTATGACATACCGTATTGAGTGTCCCATAAACAGCAAGTGCACATGGTCCAGCCCTGCAAGTTAACGTACCTGTTGCAAATTAATGCGATACGTCTGAAATGCACCAGCTGTTCATTACAGTATGTGATGCTGTCATCTATCAAATAGTCATGAGATGGTAGTATGCTGTGTTACTGTAAGGTCACCAACATGCTATTAGGGCCAAGAAAGGGTGTGATGACACGATATCGGCGATATTAGAAGCACTTTTGCAATATATTTTACTAAGCTCGCAATGTAACGTAGTGTTTTCAGATGCTGGGATAAATTGTATCGCTACCTTGCCTTATTTTATCTTGATTAATCATAGCACTATTGTTTGAAACAATCTACCAACTCTGATTTCCCTTTTAAAGCGCATGGCCGATGCGCAAAGAGGCCGCTTTCTCATGCGTAATGTGCATTTAAACATGCCAGTCAACACTTACATATTAATGCTCTCCGAAGTACCAGGCTGCACCTACACGCTCACCAAGACGTCCTGAACCTTATGACACCGCGAAAATGCGGTGTAGTTGGGGGCAACATAGTCCAGATATGCAGTGTGATTGGGTTTGAACACTGCTCGTTCGAGTCACAGTTCGAGTGCAAGGTGACAGTGTGGCGCAGAACTGCACCCGAGACACATCTCTCAGTGAAGGTTTCAGTGGCTGAGCTGCTTAGTGGAGTCAAGTGATTGGCGACAGGTGCGCATAAAGTGGTAAGCTTGATGGGATTAAGGTCGTTGTTGATGTATCGTACTCAGAGTCATTGGGTGCGAATGTTGTCAGATTTTGTTATCATTTCAAATAAGCGTGTGTGTATTAGAAGTGATGGGCTGGAATTTAGATATGAATTGTTTTTTATACTAAAAAACCGCTCTCCTTCTCCTTCTCCTGTTTTTTCTTCTACAGTTCTCCTGTTTTTTTTTTTTTCACAAACTTGTGAAACATGAAAATTGAAACGTGCATACTCTGCATATAAAAACTAATTGGCATGCGAATTAACAAAGATAGACGTTAACATACCCTCCACACGAATGAAACTTGATAAAACAAAAGGTGTATTGCATAAAATTAGGACCGGTGCTGTAGAGCGCGTTTTTTTACGTTTTTTTTTTTTTTTTGCTGATCTACGTTTGCTCGTTTTGACACATTTTAACCATCGATTTGTTTCTCTCCAGAATCCACTTTCTCCGACCGGTCTATACGAACTTCAGCTGTCATCAACCTGCTGCAGTCAAGATGGCCGCAGTACTGATATGTGCCGCGCCCATTTTCTTCGTTGGATTGTCGGCAATCTTCTTAGATCCCGACGTCATTGTCAACAACGAAATTGCTGAGAGTCTGTCGGGATTGCCTGACACTCGAGGCTTATATTCACCTTTTGGAAGCTCTTCAGGAGGGCCCGACGGTCTCTCTTCAAAAACGCTGACCGCTGACAGAATACTCACAGAAGTGTTGCAGAGTTTTAATGACCATTCAGAGACCTTCCTTCAGCATCAAGCATTGGTGGACGAGTTTATCTTTGAGGCTACCGCACACCTTCCTGGTCTATCACCATTGTTCACCAACGTGACAACCCACCATGATGGCAGCGCTTTTGAGGGCACCCGCGTCGTGGAGTTCGCCGATTTCGACACATACATCATGCTAAGCAGGGACGTGGTGCTGCGTTACTTCGAGCTACGTCGTGGCGAAGAGGGACGCATCTCTGCGAGACTTCGACCGGGTATCAGTCGTGAAGAGTTGCCGGCAGATCTGGAGCGTATGGTGAGGGAGGATAACTATCTGGACGCACGTCGCCTCAAGAGATGGGTGTTCGAACGTCTCGAGATGGTCTTGAAACTCACCGCTAGGGCACACCCGCAGCTGAGGGCTGCTGTGTACTCGACCAAAGGGGCAGCTGGGGTGGATCTGATCGCCCCTGACGGTGCTCGTCTCGAGGTCGACCTCGCTGCCCAGCTAGATCCTCCTCCCATGGACGGCATGGTTCGTCCAGAATCGACGAAGCCGTGTGGCCTGGAGTTGGTTTCCGCGGGTCATCCGATCCCGTGGAGTATTTACAGCAAGCAAACTCTGATTGCGCCGCCACATCCGACTGCTTCTGGTACGACGTCTGGGAGACTTGTGGCGTCGCCTACTACATCATCACCTGTTTGGAATGTCACTAGAGATGGCGAAGCTCATAGTGCTTATGCCATCCCAGGCGACGACGAAACTAGTCACTGGTTCGTCATCAACTCGATGCAACTTGAGCGTGCCTTCCTGAGCAAGCAACCGCAGGTGCGCAACGTCATCCGCATCCTGAAGCTGATCAGCATGTCACGCAGCTGGAAGCAGCGTTTTGGAGTGGACTCATTCGTTCTCAAGCACGTCGCCTTCTGGTCTTTCGCCGAAGACTGCGGAACGTCAGCGTGGAGCAATGTTGACGAACTTGCTTCGGCGGTTGTCTCTTCTTTGCGTACCTTCGAGAACGCGCTGCGGCGTGGCCGGATGGATAAGTTCTTCTCTAGTCCTCCAGCTGACAGTGTGTTCTTGTCGCTTATTGGAGGACAAGCTACCCTGCGACTCCTTGCCGATGAGGTGCACGGTGTTAGTGATGTTCTTTTGGGGGATGATCAGGATGCAATTAGAAGTATTCTTCGCATCCTGTAGGCGAACTTAAGCTATATGTTTGGTGAATGGTGATTATCTTTGAATACCGCTCACAGCAATCGGTGATATTGCAGAATGAACCTGGATAGCGTCATTTGCTCACGCAGCATTCATTACCTAAATATAGCTGATCGTATGGTTTCTTTGCGCTTTGGAAAGGTTGAACATGAATACCTATTATTTGTACTGGGCGTAATGCTAACACAATTGTACGCATTATATACATAATGCATGATCGTCCAAGGTATAGGTAGCCCTGTTCCTGTGATGTTATGAAATGAAAATAAAATTGCAATGGTGTGGTAGGTATGCGTAATGCGTATGTTCTTCGCAGCACAGTAGTCTCGTCAGCAGACAGGAGCCAACCATTTGTTCCACATGAATCCAATGCGTTGTCCCACCTGAATCCCCCGCCCGTTGTCTCGTCTCATGCCTTTCCCGTCATCTTACTGTTATCTCGCGCCGACTCCTTCGTCGCCTCCCTGTTGTCCCGTTGTCTTACTTGAATCTCCCATTGTCTCACCTAAATCCCGTCCACTGTCTCATCTGAGTCCAGTGGATGATCTCACCTGAATCCCTGTACTCTCACCTGGATCCCGGCGAATGGTGTAGCCGACACAAAACTCTCCGGTGCTCGACTGTGGATGCCCGGGTAGTCTTCCGCCACTACGCATATGGCGACTGAGAATGAGCGACCTCGTAGCGCCCCACTCCACTCAGTGACAGGTCGGGTCAGGTCACCGGTGGCCCAAAACTGGCCGGTGACGGGGTCACACTGGCCTAGGGGGACACGTTCCAGGCGTTGGTGGAGTGCGCTCCAGCGAATACGGCTGAAAATGAGATCGCTGGAACCTAGAGGCTCGGCAAGAGTGAGAGTGATGTCTACGACTGGGTTGGGAAATAGGCTAGACAAGTTAAAAGCATGATGTGAGGTAGTTGTTGGTACAATTTCAGGGAGCTGAAGATCGGAATCGCCAAACTTAGGAAGTCTTTGCTGAGAAGTTTGGAGATCTGGATGGAAGTGTCCAAAGTCGGGTGGTTTGGACCGAATCCCTTCAGGAAACCTTTGTTTGGTGACTCGAAGCCAATGTGTTCCGGGAGCAGGGTTCGTTGGCTGGTCTGAAGACATCCAGATGACCCCCGACTGTCCCCTGTCGGATCTCAGTGACCGATGGGGGTTAACCGGGTCCAGTGGTGTCGAGATCAGACGGCTGTAGATACCAGTGCGGACCAATGACGTCCAGAGGTTATGTACCTCGTCTGAAATCCAAATAGCACTCGGTTACTTTTACAGCTTAAAAGTCTGTCACCCTCGAGCAGATGACCTAGGGTGTTCTGGCACTAGGAAGCCTGGCGCCTGCAACTACGCATGAGTGGAGTTCAATCAAGTCTTTGTTAAATATACGTCCGACATTTGGACAAAGGAAACCGATAAAATGGTATAATTATGCACTATGCGTATGCACTATGCAGCAAAGAAAAGTCATTAAAACCCGGACTAATTAGAAAAAATACTTGCTAGAAATAAAGCATATTTGTTTTGAGCGCGTCACATACTACCTTCCGGGGTCGAACATGTGAGGGTAATTTGATACTCAAGCTAATCCTTGTTCTAAGCCGTCCGCCTAAGCTAAAGGAAACTATTCAAGAAGAAATTACACATCACAATTCACAGCAGATACATTCATGATCGAAAAGTAGGTACATCTATAGTTTTAACGATTTTGCCCTTCTCTCGTCCTATCACACCATAGCTCTCATTTCGCTGCACAGCCAACTATTTTAGAACGTTTCCATGTTCAAATGATGATAGCTAAATAGATGACCCATGTCCTCACCTTTATAGCCAACAACGTCGGCTGAGGACCAGCCATCCTTGCGGACGAAATCCGCCAGGCACAGCGACTGGGGATCGGTTAGCATTCGCTCCGGCAGTCCAACCGCCCTCGTCACCGTCGTCACCCACATCAGCATCAACGTCAGCACCATCAACGGCAGTTGTCTAAGTGATGTCATCAGTGATGCTGTCAGGGGTGGATTAGGACTTAGGAGTCCCTGCGCCGTGGTTAGGTTAAGTGAGGATGAGGTTGGTGGGATGAACTTGCCAAATATTTAGGTATCCTGGAGGTCTAGACAGTAGACAGGCACTCCTGAG